TGGTTAAGAAACCTTGGGTCTTTGTTTTGGTTCCTTTTATAATCCCAATAATATTGGGGTTACACGGCCAGGGTTGCCTAATCCGATTCCTACATTAATACATATGGACCCTTTACCCGCGTTCCCGGGGCCAGAAATGCTAAACCACATCTGGAAAACGGCGGAAGGCTTTCGCTGCCGGTACAGCGGAAGCTACCCAGAGACTCCAACATCCCTTAATTAAGGAATATAATGGAAGAACCTGATTAAGAAACCCTGGGCCTTTATTACGGTTCCTTATTAATTATGTGAATCCTACTTCTGGGGGTTTTAGACCCAGGGTTTCTTAATCAGATTCCTACACTAAATTACCTCAAACCATATTAAGGATCCTACTATAGTTTAGGTGGCGCAGTGTTTGTCCGTGGAGTATCGGCTTTGCGCCCGTAGGCTTCGGCACATCAACGTCGCGCCTGGCAGCCTTCTGCGCAAGCGTACCAGGTGCGCTCCTCCGCGCAGACAGCTTCCCAGGGGCCTAGCGTAAGGGCTTGGGGCTTGAGGGTTTACCCCTGGCTGAAACTCTAAGCTACGGGTCATGTGTCACATGTTGCGGAGTTTGGGGCTACCCGTACAGTTTTACGGTTCGAGGAAGTCGGTTTAGGGTTGAGGGCTTGGGGCGTAAGGTTCAGGGGTGTAGGGTTCAGGGTATGCGGCTGTCAACACGAAACACGAACCCTGAGCCGTAAATCCTGCACCCTCGCGGTGTCCTCGATTGGGTTGTCGCAGTTGTCGCAGGCTCTGCGTGTGTCAAAGGCGATGGAGCCCGAAGGTGTCAGGCGAAACCTCCACACTGTAGGTTTGTTTTCTCTCTTACGTAGCTGGAGCGCGATGAGAGGCACAGCAACAACAGCCATGTTGAAGAACAGGAGGGTAGACCGTCAACTAAGAGTGCCAGTGAGAAAATGAAGCTGGCACATGCTACCCCACAAAAAGACTGCTTCTCTTCATGCTTTCCTTGTCTAGCACCAGCTGAGCTTGTTCAGTATTGGGAGGATCCTCGGCGAGGGTGTAAGAGTTCAACCCAAATCTACACCCTAACTGGACCCGAAAGTTTAGGGTTTCCGGTTTCGGGCAACCCGGCCGCTTTTTCCAAGCTTTCCACGCTAAATCTCAGTGAAACTCACGCGGCTGGGCGGGAGGCGGCTTAGAGTTTAGTTTGAGTTTATGGTTTGGTTTCATCGCCTGGTTGCCACGTCCTCCCTCTAGGTTTAGCTAGACCCTGGCTTGCAGTATCTTTCTTGGCGACCTTCTTTTCTGATTTTAGGATCCCCTAAACCCTAAACCCTAAACACCTAAACCCTAAAACCCTTAACCCTAAACCCCTAAACCCTAAACCCAGGTTATCCACAGACAGGTACTGCAGTTCAGGGTCCAGGCAGGATTTAGAAACTCGCTCTTTGTTTGCATTGCGCTGGAGTTCCTTAGCTGCTCGGAGTCCGCAATATTCGAATACAGTAGAATATAGTAGCATATAGTATAATACGGTTGATGATATAAATCCTGCACTACCCAAAATGAGGAATATGTGGGAACTATGGTATATTCCTTATTATGGGTCATGCAGGATTTATATCATCAACAGTATATCTAGTACCATAACCCACTTTTTTTTTCAACCCTGCCCCTCGAACCGCAGCATCAGCATTTCAGGGGCTTTACGAGCATAGCACAAAGTAGGGTTTCAATATGAGGAATTACTAGCATGAGTTGCAATGCTAGAAGGGGAGGGTTTGGGGTTTCGGTGTTCTAGGTTTAGGGTTTATGGATTAGGGCCCAGGGGTTTAGGGATTGGGGGTTTTAGGGCTAGGAACTTATGTAGACTCAGAATTTCGATCTATAACGTTTCGGGGTTTAAGGCCTTATCCAAAACCCCACGAAGCCTACAGGCCTACATCCCAAGCCTGAGGCTTGCAAGCCCTAAACCACGAACTCCAAAAAGGCTGCAAGGGGATATTAACATTTTGAGATCTGCGGTTGGTGATTTGGGCTTTGGGGACCTGGCTAGCAGGCCAAGAAGCTTCGAATCGTGAATTTCAAAGCGTAGCTTGATATTTAGCGGGCTCAATCTTCCATGTAAACATGTCCGCAGCTCAGGGCACGCGCTTATGTATAAGTTTTGCTCGAGAGTTCGATTGAAAACTCTGCACCATGCAGTCCCACAGCAGCTGTTCAGATGTGCAGACTTAGCTCCCCGGAAATGTGGGTTTCGATATGCGGGTTCCGGGCTTACCGTACATGATGTCGCTCTATTTCCGGGGCCTCACCCGAGAGTTCATGCTCTGCAGGGCTACCCATTTAAATCCTACTCTACTTCAAGGATTTGGTGGCATAGCAAGTTTGGTTATAGGTACCTTATGGTTAAGTGTAGCTACCCCCATTATAACCCCACTTACTAAGTCCGCTGATCCTTCGAGTAAACCCCTAAACTGGTGCCTTGAAGCACTACTTAACGGATCAGCGGATTCTGTTCTACCCTTATGTTGATCATGTTGCTCCAGGTACTTACATACTTGCTGAGCCCCCCTTTGAGCACTCTACTAAAGCCTTGGGCTTAAACACTAGAAGACCAGCCAACATCAGAAGACTGCATTTGCCAACACTGTTTGAGCCCGCTGTGGCCTGAGGGAATGCAGAAGACTTACTCGCCTGCCTTCCTGTGTCTGGGGAAAGTGTATTACGGTGGGGGTTTCATATTCGGAAAGCCCAACTATGTAGGCTTCTTGGGCTGCAGGTAGGTACCCAAACACTCAGAAGCTTTATATGTCTTGCTTTCAAGGTACTCCATAGTGTTTAGAGCTGAAGGTTTACGGTGTAGGATTCGTGGTGTAGGGTTACCTGAGGGCTTATAGAAAGTTTAGGGTTGAGTGTTTAGGGTTCAATTGCTCTTATACAGCTCTGGCTTGCAGGACCACCGGAGATGAACTGATAGTATTGGCCTGCCCGCTTGGCAGGCAGGTCGTGGGCAAACATCCGCCTGCTCCCATTCCGTTGACTCAAACCCTCAAAAACTGTAGGTTGTGACCCCATGCACAGGACATATGTAACTATATGCCCTTCAAACAGCTGCGTACTGGAGCCACGGATGGTGTCTGAAATGCAAGATGCCGGAGATGCCTGTGCAATCTCCTTACCAGTGCCTATAGACCTCAATCCATGTTTATAACTAACAGTCAAAACATTATGAATATTATCAAGCCTACTTATACGGAGTTTTCTACTCGAAGTAAATTTCGAAAACTCTTTTTGCCCGGCCCCAGACCTACACTAGACTCCAGCACCCTTGTCCTTTAGACAGAGCCCTACACCTATATCCCTGCGTAGGAATTATTTAAGAAGGTCTACTAGCCGGTCTGTTTATTCTTTGGGGGAACCATGAAAAAGGACAAGGCTAGGCTCCTGCACATCCGAGAATTGAGTCCTTTTGAGGCAAAATCGGCTCCCGATTTTTTAAAGAAACAAACTCCTTGACAAGAGCCCAGCCTAAATCCTAAAATCCTAAACCCTAAAATCCTAAAAGCCTAATTCCTAAAATCCTAAACCCTAAAATCCGAAAAGCCTAATTCCTAAAATCCTAAAAGCCGAAACCTTAAATCCCAAATCCTAAAATCCTAAACCCAGAAGAGCTAAACCTGGCGCCCTGGCTCAAGAGGGAAGATTAAATGAAATTTTCTGCTCGCAAAACATGGGTAAAGAGCTTCGGGGTTTAGCAATGGGTTTTTAGGGCTTTGGGTTTAGGGTTTAACCCTTAGCCCTGAACCCATAAGCACACCAAACCCTAAACCCTAAACCCGGAACCCTAAACCCCTAAACCCTAAACCGCTGAACACGTCGACCCAGAACAGAACGTGAGGGGGAGTCGCGGAGCAATTGCCAGCGTCCCCAGTAGCCGCCTTGTTTTTCTAAAGCAGGGTTCCCTTATACCTACTTACCGGGTATCATGGGGAACTAAAGGTTAACCTTTCCTGCTTATATCGGGATTATATAGGGAATATACTACCCAAAAAAGGTTCAAGGTTGCCTACTCTACTTCTAGGTATAGGGTTCTTCAAGGGTAAGGGGGCTACAAGGGCAGTATAAGTTTACTTGCTATTTTGCCTTCTAGTCAGTCAGTCTTCAGGCTGAAGCAGGAGACATCAACACGAAAAGGGTCTGGGGGTTACTGCTGGGAGACCTAGTCGTAGTAGAAGTAGTAGTAGTAGTAGTAGTAGTAGTAGCAGCAGCAGCAGCAGCAGCAGCAGTAGTAGTAGTAGCAGGAGTAGTAGCAGCAGCAGCAGTAGTAGTAGTAGTAGTAGTAGTAGCAGGAGTAGTAGCAGGAGTAGTAGTAGTAGTAGCAGTAGCAGTAGTAGTAGTAGTAGTAGTAGCAGTAGTAGTAGTAGTAGCAGTAGTAGTAGTAGTAGTAGTAGTAGTAGTAGTAGTAGTAGTAGTAGTAGTAGTAGTAGCAGGAGTAGTAGTAGTAGTAGTAGTAGTAGTAGTAGTAGTAGTAGTAGTAGTAGTAGTAGTAGTAGTAGTAGTAGTAGTAGTAGTAGTAGTAGTAGTAGCAGGAGTAGTAGTAGTAGTAGTAGTAGTAGTAGTAGTAGTAGTAGTAGTAGTAGCAATAGTAGTAGCAGTAGTAGTAGTAGTAGTAGTAGTAGCAGTAGTAGTAGTAGTAGTAGTAGTAGTAGTAGTAGTAGTAGTAGTAGGTAGTAGCAGTAGTAGTAGTAGTAGTAGTAGTAGTAGTAGTAGTAGTAAATAGTAGGAGTAGTAGTAGTATTTAGTAAGAGTAGTAGTAGTAGGCGATGTCTTGCCCAAAAATTCTAAATCTGACTGCACATCCGCAGGCTCGGAGGACTTAGCCACCAGCTCTGGGCCAGGCCCCACCTTGCCCCAAAATAACCAACCCTTGTTGGGTTCTAGAAGCCCTTACAACGGTGCGTTCTGAAAAAACTGAGTCCTCCGAGCCTAGTAAGTGGGAGATGCTGACTTCAGATGGCGCAGCACTCATTTGAGGAGTCGTGCTTGAACCACACCTGAGAAGCGAACATCGAGGCTTCAACAATTACACAAGGCCTTCAGGGGCATATGTATACTGCAGTTACGCTGGGGGCTATAAGGACATAATTATTATCACTGGTCATTAAGACCCCGATGCTACGCGCTGACATCCTACAGCCTTTTGTCCAAAAGCCTGCTAAAGACTGTCAGAAAGCATAAAACGCTAAGCCCTTGACCCCAATCGCTAAAACCCCAATCCCAGGGCGAGCAACCATTGACGATATAAATCCTAAACCCTGAGCAACTTAAATACTGAACAAGACCAAAACAAAGAGCTCCTGGTGCCTAAACCCTACGCTACAATGCTTAACCGGGAAACTACCCCAAAGACACCTAGCATGCCGAAATCCTCGGCGGTTCCCAGGGGCCGAATTGTAGAAATTACCTGTTTTGAATACCATCTGGTATCCTTAGATAAGAAAATAGGGGTTTTAGGGCTTCTGGGTTTGGGGCTTAGGTGGTATCCTTCGGATAAGATAACAAAACAGACGGGCTTAGGGATTACGGATTACTGTATAGGCTGAAAGTGGGCCACTAATCTTTGCAGTGAAGCCAGAAACCCAAAGGCTCTCACACGCGACACCCGAAAACTCTGAGAGCTTTTTCTGAAAAAATCCCAAAGCCCAAGCTTCATACAAGAACAAAAACAGGGTTTGGGGTTTGGGTTCAGAATAATCCTGAGGTCAAGTTGGCACCCTTCACAACGGGGGCTCTGAACTAGGGGATATCAGAACCTGCTGGGACGCCAAAAGCTGCCAAGTGTCCTCGCCATCACTCCACCGGATCATTGGAGTGTCACCTTTGAGAAGTGAGGGTTTAGGGTTTTTAGGGTTTAGGGTTTAGGGTTTAGGATTTAGGGTTGGAGCCCCCTTCTGACACACAAACATCCGAAAAACCCGAAGCACACCGGATGGACAACGAAAGCTTTGTGGCTTCAAGCTTGGCGCTTAGGCAGCTTTCGAACCCTGGCTGATTGAGACTTGGAGCAAGAACGGAAGTTGAACGATTTGGGAGTTTCGGAAAATAGGGGACCCTAATACAGTACCCTAGATAGTAGGATCCTGACTATCAGGACCCCAAAATAAGGTACCCCTGTTTTCGGAAACTCCCATTTGAACTCACAAGCATCCATTCAACGGGCCTGCAAGTGTCACAACCCCGTGGTACGTCTGCCCCTCGAGGAGCATCATCACATTCCGGCCTGTCGGAAATAGCGCTTGCATCCTCAACCCGAACACGTCTGAATGGGGAAGCGTGTCTACCCACACCCAACCCAAACAAAAGCTCTGAACGCCTGAAACTTTTGGCCCTGCCTCTGTCAACCTAAAGGCCCTCAAGTAAAACCCCAAACCCTTAACCCTAAAGCTCAGGTGTTGAGGGATCAGGGATGGCCAGTGCTGAAAATCTCGGGTTCAGAGGTTAGCGTTAGGGGTTCTCTTGAGACCTTCGCCTCCGAGCTTGCCCTCACCATGTAAGGGGCTCCATTGTTAGTTAGAATAGGGTTTATTAGGGTTTAGAGTTTAGGTTTAGGGTTTTGAAGGCCTGGAATAGTGTCAATACTTGTTCCTGCCCCTACATTACAAAACCCATCAGGGAACTTATCAAGTGGGTTACAGTTCGAGCAGGCGCGCAGACTTCAATTGCAATCGGTTTTGCGGCCTTCAGTATAAGGCACTCTCAGGGATAGGATTAAATTATTGGTTACTCAAGCCCCCTACTAGAAGCTAAAGAACCAACCACATTATGTTCGTTTGCCCTTAATCCCTTCGAAGGCTAAACCCTTAGGCCCTAAACCCTAGAGCCCTTAGGCCCTCAAAACTAAAGGCTCTAAACCCTAAACCCCCCAAGCCGTAAATCCCTAGGCCCTAAACTACTAAACCCACCCCGGACTCTGAACTCGGCTTTGCGGCGCCTAGGAGTTGAAGAGGACAAGTCCTCTCAGAGACTTCGTAGCTGGCATCCCAGACCTCATGGGTGCGTCTGACAGTCACCATATAGGGTTTAGGATGTAGGACTATCCTTGTTCGGGTTACCATAAAGGGTTCCTGAATTTTTCGTAGGGTCCTACAAATTCTATAATACTAGAGTCTAGAACCCATATCTCTCAAAATGTCGCCTTTGTTAGTTGATAGGATTACCATACCTGTAGTCTCATAACCTACCCCTCTTTTAGGGTATCTACTTTTTCTACACAACAGATCCTAACCACAAAACTAGGTATCCAAAAAAGGGTCTGGTATAAGCCTCTAGGTATGTAACCTCGCCAGCAGCGCGGCAGGGCTGAAGAGCTGCTGGGGTCTAGACGTCTCGAGCTTCTCGGGTTTAGGGTTTAGGGGGCATAGGCTATTCGGGAACTGAAGGTTGAGCTTTGGGAATACATATTATATATATATATATATATATATATATTTATATACACACATGTATATTTACATATTTATATTATACAGGGGTTCCAGTATCCCACAAAGGTTTTCAAGGCCACCTACTCTAGTACTAAGACAGGGTTTAGGGCCATAGGGCTTAGAAAAAGGTCAAAAGCCGAGTCCGCAGGGTCCAGAACCTCACGCTCTGCAAATAGGGTTTAGGGTTTAGGGTGGAAAGTTTAGGGTTTAGGGTTTAGGGCTTGGGGTTTACGGTATAGGGTGTAGGGCTTAGGGTTTACCGTTTTTAGGGTGCATCGTAGGAGCCGTGGATGCTGAATGACTTAGTAAACCATCGGTTATTGAACCACAAACCCTAAGCCCTCAACCATAAACTCTAAACCCTGAACCCTAAACCCAAGACCCTAAACCATAAACCCTATGAACCTTAAACTCGCTTAAACCCTAAACCCTGAACCCTGACCGCGAATTTTGGCTCTTCGGGGCCTTTTCGGCGAAGAAGCCGGCAAGCTTCTGGTTGGGGGTGTATCTGTAGTATCCATTGCAGTTCCTTTCGGGAGGGTTACCTTATAAGATCCTGAGTACAAGCTTGGCTATCACAAAAGGAACCGGAATGGAGACTAAATTAGGAATGCTTCCGTCTGTGCACCGTGCATCCGAAGGCCAAGTTCCTCTAGCTTCAACCCTAAACCCAATCTTTACCGAACTCCTACATAAAATTAAACTCGTATACGCCCTTTAGGACCCCAAACTTAAATCGGCCCTGTACCGTAAACCCGAAATCCACAGCCCGCCGTCGAGAAGCAATGGTGCTGCCTCGGACTTCGCCGACAGGGGCACCGGTGGCCACTAAACGCCACGGCCCCTCGCTGAAGCCATGTTGGAGGTTTCCGGTGTTTAGGGTCTAGGGGTGTGAGGTGTCGGGCTTAGGAGGCTGTCTTGAGCTTAGCTTTAAGCCCCGCAATTAAGATCCCGAGCATCAGAGATTACCAATGGTAGGGTTTCGTCTTCCCAGAGACTCCAATATCCCGTAACTAAGGAATATACCTGAGATCATATTAGGGATGCTACTATAATTTCAGGTATATTCCTTAATTACGGGATATTAAGTCTCTGGGTTCAGGGTCTCGGGTAGAGGCCCTGGCCAAAAGCCTTGAAGAAATCGTGGGTCCCATTGTGACAAAGCCTTAGGGTTCCGGCCTCTACAGGGTTTGTGGCTTCAGGGTTTCTAAACCCTTCTGAACCCGATGAGCCCTGCACTTTAGTCTTCAGGGCTGTAGGAAGCTCTGCTCTTGCCCTTCAGGCCCCTAAAATCTAAACTCTAGCCCACATGGGGAAAGCTGAACAAATCGCTACCAAAGCATCACTCTGCCATTAACTCCCGAGGACCACCGGTATTTCTTGGGTTGAGGCCCTAAGGTCAAGGATGCTCTTTGCAGTAAGCGAGGTACTGTGAGTCTGAGAGCCTTCGTGTCTCCAAGCCCCCGGCAACAACATCCTAAGGCCATATATGGGTGGTTGTCAAAATTATGGTCCCGTTTTGGCTACCCTAAATATTAGGTGCCGTATGATAATAAGGACCCAAAAAGGGACCCTAGTTTCGACAACTACCCATATGTAAGGTGGCACAGCGGTCTCCAAGGAGTTGCAGATGGGTGCGCAACCCCTGTCTCGGCTGTCTTACACAATTTCGAGACGCCTGCAAGTCTCGCAGATGGACATCTCTCTATCTTCCAGAGCCAACATGAGATTCTCGGCCAGACTCTCAAACATAAGAGACCCTAGTAACTTTTTGGTAGAAGCCCTAAATCCAGCGATCCTGAGTATGATAAGAGACTCTCCCAACAGGAACCCAGAAGTTTAAGTACCTCTCTTGGCTGCGACGAGTCCTCTAGTAGTATTGTCGTTTCGGGTTTAGGTTGAAGACAGTAAATGCGATGACACCGTTGGCCGCAACAATGACGCACAACCGAGGGAAACGAAAGCTCTGCGACGTAGTCAGTACCCTGGCTCTTCTCCGTATCCATAAAACCTAGGCAAACGAGAAGAACAACACTCAGAAACCCAAAACCACAAAACTCAGAACCCTGACCCCCCAAAAGTCCACAAAATCGAACCCACGGCCTCCAGGTGAACCGTGAGATGCAACAGCTCTACAACGCGCTCGTCGTGGTCCTCATGCCTGTGAGCAATTCGGGGGAGGTGCTTGCAACAAAGGGTTTAGGGTTTAGGGTTTAGGGTAGCAGGAACCGCAGCAGTAGCAATAACAGCAACAGTGACAAAAAAAACGCGAACCAAAAAACTAAAAGCCATGGGATGCGGGCTTATCGCTAGTTGTAAATCTTGCATGCGATGAGGGGATCCTCCCTCAAGTTGTCGCAACTCTTACACTGACTGGTAGGTGCTGAACCCTTGATGCAACTTCGAGCTTCCTCAAACTATCGCAAGCATCGTTGAGCTTGAGACCTTTACGCAAGAACCTTCGCGCTATGGGCAGAGGGGCCCCAAAACGGGCAAGAATCCGAATCCTAAACCCCACACCATCCCCAGATCCCCAAATCCTGACACCCTCAACCCGAAACCGCAAACTAACCCCAACCCGTTCCAAACCCCAAATCCTAAATCCCAAGCCCTGAATCCCAGTTAAACCCGAAACTGCACGCCCTAAGCCCAAAACTCTAAAACCCCACGCACGGGAGCCCAAACTCGAACTAAACCCCCCAATTACCCTCCAATAGGGTTCCTTTAAAGGGGTCTATATAAGGGCTACTATAAGGGATCTATAAGGGTACTATCATATAGGGGCCTTAATAATTGGAATAGGGTTTTGGGGCCCATTATACTCTAAAATACCCCAAATACCCACTATTCGGGGCCACAAGGACTCTATCAAAGGGCCGTTCGGGGGTCCTGGTAGTCCCCACTTCCCGGAGCAGCTGGGTCACAAACCCAAAACCTCAAACCCTCAACCCTCAGCACCTGGATCCTAAACCCTAAACCCGTTAACCCCAAGCATCTGGATCCTAAACCCTACCTGGGCCCGAAGGAACCGACCTTTTTAGGGACCCCTATACCATGATTTGTTTATGTAAGTCTCCAAAAAGGTAGGTTATTTGGGGTTCAGGTAAACTCTAAAGCCTCAACTCTAAACCTTAAACCCCTAAACCCTAAACCCCAAAACCCCTAAACCCTAAAACCCGTAAACCCTAAACATCCCTAAACCCTAAACTCTAGTCCCCACGACCCCAAGCAGCTGGGTCCCAAACCCAGTTAGGCCGTGGGAGATCGGCGAGTCGACAAGGTTGGTCAGACGCTTGGCCACTGGCAGCCGAAGGGTTATATAGGGTTTAGGGTTTAGGCTTTAGGGTTTAAGCTCTATGAAGGGTTTAGGGTTTAGGCTTATAGGGCTTAGGGCTATAGGGTTTGTTTGTTTTTTTTGGAGGGGGGGGGGTTAAGCTTTTTGTTAAGGGTTAAGGGTTTGGGGTTTGTTTGGGGGAGGAGTGAATCAGGGTTTAGGGATTTCAGGTTAAGGGTTCGGGGTTTGAGGTCTCGGATTTGGGGTTTGAGCTCTCGGATTTGGGGCTTGAGGCCCTAGGGTTGAGAGTTCAAGGTTTAGGGTGTTGAGCGTCCTGGACTTATACTGTAGGGTTTACTTGGAGGCCCTTTTGACTTAGTAAGTCTACTTAGTATCCCCTAGAAACCCCATTATAATCCCCATAACCCACCTTACTAACCCTACTTACTAAGTCAAAAGGGCCTCCAAGTAGGATTCAGCTGCTGGGGAATTAGAAGGCGTGGAGGTGGTCCAAGGAGCTTGCAGGTTAGTCTTTAAAGGCGTGTTGTACTCGCTCTTCGTGGTCCTATACAGTTGTGGGAAGGGCTAGACACTCTCCAGGACCGTTATGGGGCTGTTTTGCAATACAGTGTGCCGCGAGGTCCCGTGCTTGTAGGGGTCCGTATCAAGAAGCCCACTATATAAGCCCTCCTCAGTCAGCCTGGACCCACTGAGCCTTAAACCCTACACCCTCAACCCCGAACCCAAAAAACTGCGAAAACAAAAAAACAACCTTTCAACCTCAAAAACCCACCTCACCCTGCAGGGTCCCTGCTTGGGCTGTGAGGATTTACGATCCCTAAGGGGTCGGGGGCACGTCGTAAACCGTACACCCGACTCCCCGAACACTAGCTGAACCTGCAGCACTACATGCCCTCATGTAGGGGCCTTAGTAATTAGAATCGTGCTTTGGGGGCTCCTTGTTATTTGATAGTGTAAAAATACCCCCCAAACCCGATCCCAAATTAAGGCAGGCCCCTTTATGCTAAATCCACCCCATGCCCTGAATGCGAGCCCTGTCTATTCAACTTGCGCCTTCTGCGGCCTGCGACGTTCGGCTGACCTCCCAAATTTCAGCCCCACGGCATTTCTACTTTGTGATTTTTTGGCGGAAGCCGTAGGATGAAAAAATACCTGCAAATAGGAGCACGGACATTACCTAGTATTCGACAGATACGTGGCAAGAGAGAGCGAGAGAGAGAGAGAGAGAGAGACATAGACATGCGCAGAGACACAGCATTTCTAACTATCGTAGACAAGTTCGCCTATAGCCGCCTCAATGGCTGAATGCTATATGGAAGTTCCGAAGATTAAGGGTACCTTATTTGGGGGTGCTTATAATAAGGATCCTACTATTCTAGGTGCCATATTAGGGTCCCCTATTTTCGGAAACTCCCATATCCCACAAAGCCCCAAACGAACCCGTTGCCAGCCTTAGCCTCAACCCTTGGCATCCAAAGTGTCTCAAGCTGCCTCTCGTCATCTCTACTTTGGCACCACCGTGCTCCCATATACCTTAGAAGGGGCACCCACCCTGTAACAGTGGTATAATAGGAATATAATAGGGCCCTAATATAATCCTTATAGTCACTAACTATTACGGTGTGGGGGCCCCTTCTAACATATACCCCTTCCAACCTCCCCCTGCAACAGGCCTCGCCTGCGGCCCTTCATTGGCCTGCAACGTGGACAGAGCCTTGGTGAGCTGATGGCTGGCTCTGAGAAGTCCCAACCCCCTGTGTTTCTTTGTTTAGGGTTTAGGGGTTTAGGGGTTTACGGTTTAGGGCTTAGGGATAAAAAACAAAAAAGTAGATCCTTTAATGGGGTTCCTACAAAGTACCTTTAGTAGTGGGGCCTCATATTAGGGGATCTACTTTCTAGAGCCTCCCGGGGGCATAGGGTTTAGGATGTAGGGTTGAGGGTGTGGGAATTAGAGATTACTGTAGGTGTAAGGTTAACGGTGTAGGGTTTAGGGTCCTAAAGTAATCATCGTAGGAACCCTTACACCGGGTTTATGAAGCACCTACGGGTCTGTCCATGTCTTGTTGCAACTGGGGAGTTTCCGAAATTGGGGGTACCTTATTTCGGGGTCCTTATAATAAGGATCCTACTATTTAGGGTACTATATTTTGGGTCCCCTATTTTCGGAAACTTCCTCTTGGTAAAATGCAGCAGCAATCCTGAAGCAGAGTGCTGGACGCTCCTGCGGAGTTCGCGCGAATATGGGAGTTTCCGAGGTCCTTGTAATAAGGATCCTACTATTTAGGGTACTATATTAGGGTCCCCTATTTTCGGAAACTGCCTCTTGGTAAAATGCAGCAGCAATCCTGAAGCCGAGCGCCGGACGCTCCTGCGGAGTTCGCGCGAATATGGGAGTTTCCGAGGTCCTTGTAATAAGGATCCTACTATTTAGGGTACTATATTAGGGTCCCCTATTTTCGGAAACTGCCTCTTGGTAAAATGCAGCAGCAATCCTGAAGCCGAGCGCCGGACGCTCCTGCGGAGTTCGCGCGAATATGGGAGTTTCCGAGGTCCTTGTAATAAGGATCCTACTGTTTGGAATACAATATTAGGGTCCCCTATTTTCGGAAACCCCCATATCTTTGGAGGGATCCTCAGTTCGGTGAAACCTGCCCAGATGCTCCAACCCCGCTTAACTACGACATATAGTCTCCTCACAGTGGTTGCACGGCTCTTCACCGTGCGCCCTGAATCACTGAAAAGCCCGAAATCCTGAATTACTCAATCCAAATGCCAATTTCCAGCATAAAATGGGAGTTTCCGAAAATAGGGGGCCCTAACATAGTACCCTAAATAGTAGGATCCTTATTAATTATAAGGACCTCAAAATAAGGAACCCGAAATTTTCGGAAACTCCCAACTGTAGCTGACGAGGGGCCTCGGCGTCGTCACTTTCGAAAGTGACAGTCAGCTCCTTCCCCCTTGGCTCGCTGTGATCCCGAAGCTTCCTTAAGGACGAAATGAACCTCAAAAGGGTTCAAGGTTCATATACTATACAAGGATTCAGCGCATAAGGGTACAGCGCCCCTACTTATAAGGGTCGTTTGGTCCCCAAGGTTATGCCCAAAGCTGAAGGTCCGAATCCTAAAAGCTCGGCACCATGACCAGAACCTTGCATGACATATATAATATTTTAGTGCTAAAATGTAGTATGTTATGTTTATAGTAAACTGTAGTATGGCAACAATATGTTATAGTAGACTTCCCGACATTTGGCGTCGTCTCCATGTGCTTGTTGTCATGCAAACTCCTTGCCCAAGCCACTGCAGGCCGCCAATAAACCACTCTAAGCATTGGGCTCTACATGTAGTATCTAGGCCGTAAAACACCCTGTGACCAAAGGACTAGACCCTATACCATAAGGCACCAAACCCCAAAAATTCTAACCTGAAACCCGCCGAGACCCGAATAGGCCCTGTCGGGTCCCCGCCCGCACGTTTCGAAGTTCGTGTGGGGATATCTGTTGGTTCATTTTCAATTAAAAAAGCGCACATTGCAGCACTATGACCAAGCCAACATAACTATATGCCTTTGTATATACGGATCTGTGCGAACATAAATAAACGTTGATATAAATATATTTGTATACATGTATGTATATACACACAACATACATCAGGTGTATTTATACATGTACCAACGCAAATGCTCTTTACGTGTCTGTGTGTACGGCCCCACTTTGGGTCCTGATCCGTAAACGCAAAAGCCCACCCACAATCCTAATCCCCCAACCCTGAGCCCACACCACGCAAACGTTTGTCCCCCGACAGACCTGAACGTTAGATTCTCAACCTTAAGTTGTTCACTCTAACTCCTAAGCCGAAAACTGGGACCGTGCACCCTGCTAAACTCTGGGGGTTTAGCGACTTTATTGTTTAGGGTGATCTGCTCCCGCTCAAAATCAGACACTCTAGACCCTGAGCCTTCAAATCCTGAACCCTGAACTGTACCTAGCACACACCTTAAGGACGACACGAACCTCAAAAGGGTGTAAGGTTCATATACTGTATAGGGACTATATAGGACAGCGCCCCTACTTATAAGGGTCGTTTGGTCCCCAAGGATATGCCCAAAGCTGAAGGTCCGAATCCTAAAAGCTCGGTATCATGACCAGAACCTTGCCGAACACATACAGTATTTTCTGAACCCTGAACTGTACCTAACCCACACTAACCTGCATGTTGAACCTAAACACATCTGAAACCCGCGACCAGACCCAAGAGGCCCTCCAATTCCTCAAGCTCGATAGATAAACAGTAGACGTACAAATACATATAAATACATATGTAGATGTGTATATATACATATATGTATATACAAATATGAATGTGTATATAAATACATATGTTTATATGTGTATATGCATATATGCATATATGTATGTATGTGTGTATGTATGTATGTATGTATGTCTGTATGTATGTATGTATGTATGTATGTATATTTATATATGCATATATATATATATATATGTATATTGACATTCACATATCAATAGATATATGTATACATACGCAGTTGAAGCAGACCCTATGAAAATCCACCGAGCTCAACGGTCCCGATTGCGAGCCCGGGCGCGCATTCCGTGAGGCTGCCCTAAGTGGAAGGCCCACGAGCTTCGCAATTTAGTGCATTTTTTATATATAGGATTTGATGGAGTTTGATGGATTTCCCAAGGAGTTTGGAATTTCCAGGGGGTCAAGAAGGTTTTATATAGCATAATTATGTGGGCACAAAAGGTGATGCTATACCTAATCATTCAGACCTCTATAACCCTAAACCCCAAACCCTGGAAAAGTACCGCCAGCAAACTCAATCTACATCTGTGGGCTTGCTTACGAGTCAAGGGACCAGGTCATCGGTATAGGGAATCTCGCGTCATCGGTGTGATTCTGGGCTTCTGGCGGAAAGGACACAAAGCTGTAGGAAGAGCTTACGGCCCAAGTCTAACCATTCAGAGAGGCATAGGCAAACAAACCATGATGTCGAGGATCCTTTTGTCCTCAAGCCTAAACCCTCAACCCCGAAGCCTCAACTATTAAGCCTGAAAAATCAACACTAAACCCGAAGGCCTACACCCCAAACCCAAATTTCAACAGTGTCTAAACCTTGAGCCCTGAACTCCACGTTGCCCTGAAGTAGACTGCAGGGTGCGCAGCCCCTACCCAGAGACGCCAAATCCCTTAATTCAGGAATATACCGTAAATTATAGCAGGATCCCTTATATGATTTAAGGAATAATCCTTAATTAAGGTATATTGGAGTCTCTGGGTACACTCTACACCTCGGAAGCCCACCGTAAACGCCTTTCTAAAGGTGTTTACCTGCTTTTCAGGGTTTCGGAAGTGGCTTCAGGGTTCATCTGCCAGATACCAGAGGTGAGGAAAGTGCCGGTTGAGGGTTTTGGGTTTAGGGTACTTAGAGGTTCATGGGACTTAGTAACTACGGTTATAATTAAGGTAACTATACTTATAACTAGTTATAACCCCAATTAAGGTACTTATAACCGTATTTACTAAGTCCCATGAACCTCCAAGCAGGGGTGAGGGGAGTAGAGGTGGAGGGCTCATGGTTTGGAATTTGTAAAGCGCGGCAGGGGTTCAAGGCTTCAGCGGTTCTCAACAAGGGCCCGCAGTAACTCCTGGATATCTACCTTAGAAGGGGCCCCCACCCTGTAATAGTGGTATAGTAGGAATATAATCGGGCCCTAATATAATCCTTATAGTCACTATTACAGGGTGGGGGCAGCTACTAATATATACCCTATTATGGGCACTGATTCCTGTGGAACAGGCACGACCCGGGAGGCCCCCATACTACGGTTGATGATATACATCCTGCAGTACCCATAATAAGGAATATATGGGAATTATGGTATATTCCTTATTATGGGTCATGCAGGATTTATATCATCAACCGTATAAAGTAGGGGGCCTTACTCTGTAGAATAGAGTTTTGGGCCACTTTTAGAGCACGAGAATGGAAAACCTTTTGCAAGTTGTGGGGGCTAAGGCCTAAGCATTAAACTTCCAACCCTGAGCCTTAAAACCCTAATCCCAACCTTACCTATAGTCTCCATGGCAGTTTCGGTTACTTCCTATAGGATCCTACGAACTACAATGGCGACAAAAGTTAAACTCCGAATCCCTGAACCCCAAACTAAACCCCAAAACCTAAATCCCTACCCCAATATGAGTCCTTAGAGCCTAAGGGCTAAAACTCCGTATAAAAAGCAAGTGACTCCTTGGCACCTGGAGAGCTGCACTGATTGCAGCCGAAGAGGGCCATGAGCGGATCAAGACGCAGCCGAACGTTGGGATGTATTTAGGGCTCCTTATACGGGTTATGGGCCAGTTATGGGGATTAGGGTTTAGGGTTTAGGGCTCCTTTTACAGGTTATGGGGATTAGGGTTTAGGGCTCCTTTATTTAGGGTTTGGAGTGTATTTGGGGTTCCTTTTAGGGGTTCCGTTAAGGGTTCTACAAGGGCAGATCTATTGTGCAAGACCCGGAGTCCTATCGTCTTCGGCATAGCCTTGTTCGTGCTGTTCTGATAGTTTATTGGGACTTACCAACATGATCCATCAACAAAAGGTGTCCTGCTGACCAATCCATGATACAGGAGCAGGTTCGGGCTTTTCAATAGTCAATAGTCTTTCCGGAGTCTTTCCGCGTTACGCTTAGGGTTTCGGTTGAGGGTTGAGGGTTCTGGGCTGAGGATCGAGTTTAAGGTGCTATGTCTTGGGGTTACGAACGTCTGCTGCTTTGTTGCTGGTGATACTTTCGGCACTTGGCAATTCCGGGCTTCCGCTACTCTAGGCAGCAGACCCTGAACCACTGTATAGAAGCAGAATCCCTGAACCTTAAGCCCTGAATCCTAAGCCCTAAACCCTAAACCCCTATACCCTCGTTCTTCTAACAAGACCATGGCTTGAGCCCGTCATGCTGACACCAGAGGTGCTCGCAAAGCTGCCCATCGAAGGCTACGCTACGGGTTGAGTGTGGCTTGTCTTTAAGATCCTTAAAGACTTACCTGGACCCTAAGGAACCTACCTTTTTAGGGCCCCCCTAATATGATTTCTTGATATAAGTCCCTAAAAAGGTCGGCTATTTCGGGTTCAGGTAGGGTTTAGGGTTCAGGGTTCTCTTGGATTCTTGTTAATTAAGTGTTAGGAAACGATCCTGGGCTGGGAGGTTCCGGGTCAAGTGGAGTGTAGTGTAGGGGTCAGGGCATATCAAATTCGTTGCGGCGTCTTTGCGCTGACAGGCATGTACTTGGGACTGCCGCGGCATCTTATTGCTCTCGCGCTCGTCCGAAGCGTCGAAGAATGGCGCGGGAACTGCGACTCACCTTGTCGCGGGCCGACGGCATGCGTGGCGCCTCCCGGGGACCGGATGGCCCTGGCCCTGGCTCGACCGCAAGCCTGTCTGCCGTGCCCGCATGTCTTCCTCAAGTCGCTTGATGAGTTTCATCACCTCTTGAAAGCTCCGGGTGACTTTCCTTTCGAATTCCGCGTCCTGCTCCCTCCCCGGCACCTTGTCCGGATGCAAACATATGGGGAGCGTCCGGCACACCTATTTCAGCTGCTTCGCATGCATATCCGTCATCGTAACCCGACTAGCAACGACTTCAAAGTCAACATCCCCAATGAGTCTACAACTGTATAGCGCCTACAGCTCGAAGGGGATGATAATACCAGACCTCGATAAGATGCAGTAGCAAAGCCGTGATCCCTATAGTTGCTAAAAATCCAAAGCCAACGGGCTCCCTCCAGGTCTCCGATCTCCAATAAGCTTGGGATGGGTGAAGGGTTTAGGGTTCACGGTTAGCGTTTAGGGTAAGAGGTTAGGGTTGGGGGAAAGCTTGGTATTCAGCATCTCCGACATCTCAGCAGTCGCTCGGGAGTTCTATTCAGGCTTTGTATGTATCTCTGCGTTTTTTTTAAAGCTCCATACCCCCCCCGCCCGATTGAAGGTTTGAGCTTGAAAGGCAAGCACGGGCCCTTATCAATGTAAAGAGGCTTCAGGTCTTAGGGCATGGATTTCGAAGTTTTCGGAGGGCAGGCTCATGAAATCCTTTGTTCGAACTGAGCTCTCAATGCTCAACTCCTCACAATGCTCAACCCCTCAAAAACGTGCAGACTCGACTCCCAACCCTCAACCCTAAACCCAAACCCTACACCCTCAACGAGTTTCGGAAACAAGGTAGATTCGTCTGCCAGCCATCCCCCACTGCGATAACGCTTCAAGACAGACAACAGGCATGAGCCCGATCTTACCAAAACTCCCCTTCACAGGAATCCACCCAAAAAAGCTTAATTAAGCAGAAAGCTTTATCAGGTAACCTGCCCATAAAGGAACTCTTAAAGGATTTCTAAAGGGCCTGGGCTTCAATATCGTATGATCAAGTGCTTTCGTGAGTCCTCAGGAAACACCAGGCCTGGCGCTGCGCAGCGTTTTCTTCTGCAGTGCGTGGGGATGGGGCCTCGGCAAGTTTGGGGCTTAGGGGGTTTCGGGCTTAGGGCTTAGGGGTTTAGGAGTCCAGGGGTTTAGGGTTTAGGGTTCAGGGTTTAGGAGTCCAGGGGTTTAGGGTTTAGGGTTCAGGGTTTAGGAGTCCAGGGGTTTAGGGTTTAGGGTCTAGACCTTCGAGCCATCTTTCAACACAACCCCCGTGAGTATCGAGGTTCCCACTGCACAGTAGTTGTAGGTTTGGGATAGATTTTTGTACAATAAGGAACCCTAACGAACCCTAAACCCTAAATAGTGAGCCCTAGACCCTGAACCCTAAACCCTGAACCCTAAACCCTACACCCTAAAACCGAAACTCTAAATCCGAAATCCGAAACCAAAACCTAGCTGTTGTGACGGTTCATTGGTTAGCAGCACTGTGTTAAAAGTGCCCGGATCCCTTCCAATGTTTAGGGTCATAGGTCACAGGATTACGGGTCACGGGCTAACGATCTAGTGCGGGTTTGTGCTTGAAAGCAAAAGCTCAGGGCCTACATTGCCTTTGGAAAGATACCAAGACGCTGTCAAAGGTCTGGGACAGCGGCAGCACGGAAAGTCCCCGATCGTCCTCTCGGAAAATTGTGTGTGTGTGTGTGTCCCACGCCCATAACTCTACACCCAACCCCAGGCAACATGAAGGCTCCTTTCCTAGAACCCTGAATAACCCTTGCCTCAAGGATCTCCCTTGTAGTTCCTCTTTCTGGTTAACCAGTTTTATGGTTAGGACCCTATAATAGAGATTTTGGTTAACCAAAAAAAAGCAACTACAATGGAGACTCTAGCTACAGTACCCGTCAAAAGCACAAGGCTTCGGTGTTTAGGGCCGCAGCCTTCCAATCCTCGACCCAAGCTCCGAAGTTGATCCCGACTACTGTAGACTAGACCTAAGAGTAACTTAGTAATAAAAAGGGTGCCCTTTTTGGTTTAAAGGGGTTATAAGGGAACCTGAACCCTAAAAAAGGGAATAAGGGCTTACTCTGGGTCCTAGTAGAGGATTTCGGAGGCCTCAAAAGGTGGGATGGAGGTAGGTACCCTGAGAGCCCAATACCCCTTATTTAAGGAATATGGCTTAAATTATATAGGGCTTCATATTATGAGTTAAGCTATATTCCTTAATTAAGCGGTATTAGAATCCCCTAGACCCTAAACCCCATAGATCCCTTAAAGGATCCCTTAAAGGAGCCCTAGCCATATTCCTTAATTAAAGGGTATTAGGCTCTCTGGGAAGGATGAACGATCCCTTGCGTAAGGGCTCTCATCTGGGAAGATCCCACCTAGCTTCACCCCACCCTTGGAGCTTTTTGAGAATTTACAACTTACATACCCAGAGACTCCAATATCCCTTAATTAAGGAATATACCCTAAATCATATAAGGGATCCTACTATACTTTAAGGAATATTCCTTAATTAAGGGATATTGGAGTCTCTGGGTATGAGCGCTGAAGCGTTAAGCCCCGGACCTCCGGGCCGCAGACTTTACCGAAACGAACACAGTGTTGGTTTTGTGTAGGGCTTACCTTAACCCTGAAGAACCTACATTTTTTTAATGACTTATATAAGGAAATCACAATAGGGAACCCGAAAAGGTAGCTTCTTCAGGGTTAAGGTAGGGTTTAAGGCTTAGGGTATAGGATTTCGATGCTGCACTCCTTCGGCAGAGCGCCCTTGAGCGAGGGAAGGGCTGCTGCCTGCAGCATGTAAGCTAGGGCTTTAGGAAGGGTTTAGGGTCTAGGGTTTGTTAGGGTTTAGGAGTTTAGGATTCGTTAGGGTTTAGGGTTTGTTAGGGTTTAGGGTTCAGATTTCACAGTTTTGAGTAACGAAAACATATTTGGCAAGGTTGCTCTAACTCCACAGATTTCTGACATCACCGAGTATCCTCCCCTACTCACGGCTGAAACGTTCTGCGCTAGACGATATGTACTCCTGCACGCTCAAAGCTTGCTTGCGGCTGCTTGAGTTTTGCATTTGGCATTGGGCAAACATTCCACTGACCGGGTTTGTTTAAATCACATCTCTCTCGAAGTGCATCAGAGGCGAGTGACCTAAAGGCTAGGGCGTGCTCCATTGACATCCATATACACATATCCACGCACAGACATACATATATACATACATGCATACCTATATATATATATATATGTATATATATATATATATGTGTATATATATATATGTGTATATATATATATATATAGAGTATGCGCGCGCACACACACACACACACACACACACACACTTAGGCCAGAAGCCCACAGATTTCTGATTGTCAAGGCTGGTCAGCCACAGAAGTAAAATCGTGCAAGACAAAACGGTTCTGCTGCCTCCCTGTGTATGGCGGTCAGAAAAAGGCATCCGCCAGCACTAGCTGCAGAACGAAAAGAGCTTTGAGTTTATCTACGGGACACAGACTCGAAAGCCCGGAGATGCTACTTTGAGCTACTTTGTGTGTGTGTGTCATGTGCTATTGTCGTTGGGGCTGTCATTCACCACAAGAACATGATCGACAGCTGGATGACAGATATATCATTTAGAAGCAAGAAGACATTACAACATACCATGTCAAGAGAATGGCAACTGTCTCGAGGAATGGCTGTTTTGAGGATGTCTGTCTTGCCCTCAACCCTATCCCTAACCCCGCAAAACCCTACACCGACCCTGAACCCTAAACCCTAGACTAGCCTGCCCTCCAAGCTTGAAACCCAACCTCCGGCTCCAATTGCATACGTTTTTCGGGTTTAGAGGTTTAGGGTTTCGGGGTTTAGGGGTCTAGGGGTTAGGGTT